ATGTCAGCATCAAAGCAACTGATAGCAGAAACAGGCCACTGCTTTTGCTGATGGTATTATTCCTTCAGCAACAGCATTTCATGTTGGTAATTTCAATTTTTCTGAATTTACTCTTACAAGACAGATTAATCTGTCTCCGAGTTCAGACATAAAAGCAATGTCATTCTGCGAACAAGTAGGAATTACCTGCTGTTGTCTGGCAAATATTTCACTTAAAAATAGAGGAGCCTCCCTTTTCCCTCAGAACTATCTACTGTCACCAAATGATTCAAACACACCACTCCCATCTCTAACTCTACTAGGAAAGACTTACTTCACCATTAATTCAGTAATGAACTAGAGAGTCAGCTTCCAGTTACCGTTTTCTGCTACTTATTTAGTAATGCATGCTACCTGGAGCAGGATTTTCTTGCTGATAAGAACAGGCAGGCTGGAAGCCAAGTGAAACTTTGACTACAACTGATTATAAATGGAGATATCCCTTTTTAGACAGCCACCTTGTCCATCCTACTCCTCTAGTTTGTTTATTCAACTGATGCATCTTCTCTATGTAAGAACACTGAGCTGTCTTGAGCTAAAACCCTCTTACAGTGGTACAAACAGATATTGTTCAATATATTTTTGTATTGATTATATAATGACTAATGACAGAAACCCATCTGAACCACTACTGAACAGTTTATCTATGTAGGTATCTTAAGATTAAAAATTCCCATTAGTTTAAATCTGCAGTGAGGATGTGCTTACCACCAATACATAAGGTCTTTTTTTTCCCTCCAGACGCACATGCTCATTCTTTCTACTGCTGCCTAAGAATTCTAGCTATAGGTTAAGCTGAATGACATGCAGAGATAATTGAAGGAGACTGCATGTAATTCATAGACTCACTGGTACTGAGATATCTTCAGTAAGCCTGAAGAGGTTCACAGGTGACAATTGAGCAAGACTAGACAAGATGAAGCAGAAGGATGATAGAACAAAATAGTTCTAGGAATTTCTTTTCTACATATTGCCAATGCTATTTCAACATAGTTTAGGTTTTTTTCAAAAGATCAAGACCTTGAGACAAGAACAAGTTAAACCACTGCTACAGAATTTTTAAAAAATCATATTGTTTAGTCAGCCACTGCTGAATTAAAAAAAACAAAAAAACGCAAAAAAAACCCAGAAAAAGGACTGATAAAGAAAACCTTTAAAACTTTTGTCATGAAAGAGAGCAAGTGAACTCTGGATAAGCTTGAAATATTATATAAATCATAATATTTGTCTGGGTTTGGAACATGGCAATTCAATGTCCAGATTCAATTCTCCAGCTCAGCTGTAGAGTTCCAGCAGTCAAACTTACTTTAAAGGTGATGAATAAAAAGTCACACTGTCTCCTGCGGTAGCCTTAAAATAATGCACTGGGAAGAGAATGAGCAGGGCAAGCACATAATGTGACTTTCTCAACTTTCAACTACTTCCAATTCATAAGATTTCTTGAATTTGATGTAGTTTGTTTAGGAACCCTCCACAATCCTGTCCAACCTGTCCTTGAGTCCCTAAACTTTTTCCATCCATGACTGCCTTAAGCAAGGAGTCCCAGAGCCCTACTAATAATACTTTCAAAGGTTATTTCATTGCCTTGCACAGATTCCTGAGGAGAACTACTTGTAAACTCCCTACATTGCAAGAACTGGCCACTGATTTCTGCTCTCCTTGCTACCAAACATAACAGTTACATTGATCAGTTTGTTTCATATCTATGTGCTTTCAAGAAGATACTGGATCACTTGTATTCTTTGAAGTGAAGTCTGACTTCTCTTCAACATCCACCCCTAACCAAAAATATTGCAGTCATATACTGGCATATTATAGCTTTCAGTCAAAACTTGCTTATTTCTGAACCACATCTTCAAAGTATCACTTTCTTGCTATTGAATTTCATTTCATTAGTGCTGAACACCTACAGCTTCTGTCTACAATTCTGTCTACAATAACTGATTGCTATTAATCAGTTCCCAAGCTCTCTAAAAGTATTCCAGTACCAAGCAACTTCGCAAGTTTGCCACAGCATAACAAATATAAACATGTTTTTAACTACAGACTGGCAGCTCTCTAAGTATTTTAAAGTGTGTTTTGTATTTTCTTACTGATTTTCTGATAAACGAACACAGTTATATCCAAATGTACCTATCAAGGTCAGTTTTCTACAACACAGAAAACACAGGTACTTGTTATATCCTCATACATTTGCAATGGTAAAAAAAAAAAAAAGATTCTCAAAGAAACTGATATGTGTAGCTTCACTTGTAACTTCACTTACTAGTGACAGCCTGTCCACAGGATCAGTTTCTCCCACATTAGCTTACAGAGTTACACAGTGACAGTCATCTATGCTTATAATTTACTTGAATTTAAAGGAAGCTGATACATATAATTTGTTTTGTTTAATCAAGATCTCAAATATAGTCATGGTAAAGTGTTATTTTTATAAACTATCATTTCAGAGAGCTTTCATGTCTGAAAAGATTTACACAGACAGGGATTAGGTTTGGTGGTGGTTTTTTTTAAACTCTGTTTACTGATGGACAAGGCTATACAGGATGAAAGATTCTGCTCCTTTCCTCAAGTCTCCTGCTATCAGCAGTAGCTTTGGCGTTGCCAAGTTTCCACCTATGCAAGTTTGCCTTACTGAGATGAAGGTTAGTTAAAAGTCATAGCTTCCCTCAAATAATCAAAAATACTGATCAACACATCTATGTAATAATTTCCTCATATAAGACTAGAAAAAAATGCATTTAGGTAAAACCTATCTTTAATATGATTCATGAAAAGAACACGAGTTGAAGTACCATACAAATTCAGATGGTAGTGAGAATCTCTATGTCTATCTAGAAGAGTAGTGAGCATCTCTGTATCTATCTAGAAGACATTCTTGAATCTCCAGCTCAAAGTACACATGGTATTTTTGAGTCAAGAGAACCCAGGATATTCAGTCCTCCCTTGACACTTTGCTTAACTTGCGCTGTGTGTGTCACAAGCCATCTGGGCTAATTCGGCTAAAAGCATAGGAGTTCTTTTGCTTCAGGGAACAAATTCAGAAATTGCTTGCAATTTAAGGGTTATTCCAGATCTATAACTTGTTCAACCACCACATAAAAGTAAAACCTTATCAGCCATTTTCCTCTGGCTAAGAAGCCAAGGCTCCTTGCAGTGAGAACCTTGCCAACATTAACCATACTTCTGCTTCAATCAAAGCCATTAAAATGCACTCTGCAGAAGACTACCTCAACTCATCACGGCCTAAGTGCTCACAAAAATCCCAACAATCTGTAGTGAAAACGTCATTTTACTGAGAACTTGTGACACCAGTTCCCCACGTGACCAGGGATAAGCATCCCCCACCCTAGGACTTTCTTGCTTCACTTACTATAGGATATTCTCAGAACTGCTCCAGCTGAATCCTCCCTTTAGAACAGAGAATAGCTAGTGAGCAAAGTCCAGATCTCTGCAAATCAAGATACTTTTGATCAAGGAAGAAACAATATTCTCAGAATGTCTCCCAAAATGTACCTATCTGATTGAAGTTTAAGAGCAAGCTGGAGTGTGTGTCCCAGAGGTACGAAGAAATGCAGAGACCTACACTGACTAGCTAAACTTCAACTTCGGAATAATTATTTTAACGCTGTTGGGATTTTATTGTAACATACGTGTTCGGGTATCCAGAGATTTACATAAGCTTTTTTATTGCTCCAATTGAAACACAATACAGGATTTTAAACCTAATTATCAAAAGCACCATTAGTATTTTGATCTTCTTAGTATCGCTGTTGGCACAGAATTTGACCCTGCCTGAAAGCTTCTAATTAAGATGATGGTGTTGCTGTTTAAACTTCCAAACAGTGGCTAAAAGAGACCACCACAACCACTGCTGCAAATGGCTACCTTTTATTCCTTCATCTCTCTTCTGTTTTCAGAGATCTGCACTTCCTAACAATTTCAGGCAAGCAACATTCGCCTGAAGACTGGTGGCACGATGGCTTTTTATCTAGAGAGCCAGTGCCAACACTTATTTGTCACTGGTTTATTCCAAATAATCAATCCGTCTTAAAGGATGATCAGGTCCAAAAGAAACAGGTTTTATTCCAGTGAGCTTTTACATGAACAGTTCTATTAAACGGGATTACTCATTAGCATGACAATACATTAAATGGGATCATTATGTTAATTGAGATCATTACTATTCATTTTTTCTATGTTCATATATATTATTACTTCAGTTCAAAACCACAAGGTGTTACAGTGGTCAAAAATATCAAATACAGAAATCTTCTAAACCTGAAACATTTCTACTGTTTAAATAGCTTTACAATTAGAAGACAATACTCAGCTGTTCTTGGAGTTCGTACATTGAGATTTCTATAATGAAAAGTACTAACTGCGAGCAAAGATTAAACTTTGACCTTAAAAACATTTTTTTCTTCTGCAAGTTGTACATTCATGTAGATCCTTGGTTAACATTTAGATAGCTGTTATTACTAAAGTTCCATTTGTTAGGCATGCACCTCTTCAGCTTGGAGGCATTAAATTCAAAATGGGCCCACAGAATTTAGAGTTATGCGATCATTACATGCATGTGAAAATATCTGCCAAATGTCATCCAGTATCACCAAAAAAAATGTAAATATTTACTGCCTCCCACTAATATGATGAAGAGTTTTGTATTTTTTACTGCTCCAGAAGACATACTTTTAAGGTTTCAGAGAATATTTAAAGTGGTTCTCAATTGTAAGAACATAACAATATGAGACCTTAGATCCACCTCCATTTCCATTTTAATACCTTTGTAACGAAAAATTCTGTTCTGCATCAAATTGAGGCTCAAAGCCCACAAACACCAGGAACAAACCTGCTACGAAGATGAAGCACCAATCCTACCAGTTGAACTAATTCCCCTGAAAAGTGGTAGACATCTTTATACAACGTACCAGATGGAGTCCCAGATCTACAATCCTTACCTTAATTTGTTGTCTGGCCTGTACACTAATGCTCTGCTACAGCATAAAGTTCCCATTCGGTTTTGCTTTCTTTAACTGAAGATAAACAGCTCGACTCCCTCCAACTCAAAGTTAAAGGCTGAAGTTGCCTACGGTTCATTGTGTGTCAAAGTACATTCGACAGAACACGATGTTAATAGCGGGCTCTGGATGATGAAAGCAAACTCTTAGTGTCGTTAACGCGAAATCGCCGTAACGTACATAACATTCCCTTGTTGTTATTAGCGAAATCTGAACAGATTATAGACAAAGCAGATATTCCACCTTTTTATGTTTTTTTTTAAACTGCTGTCTTTGAACAGCCACATACTGGGTGCTTTTGCTTCTTCCCCTTTTGGGGGCTACGAAGGGATCTTTGCGGCCAGGGCCCTCAGCAGCTGTTTCCCGATATCCCCGCCGGTACGTCTCAGCCAGCAGAGAGCCAGGAGACGCATAAACCACCGCAAAGCAGGAGCCGACGGAGGAAGGCAGCGGCAGGCCTGCCGCCCCAGATCGCCCTTCGCCT